TGCGCTTTTCACTTGTCGCTTGTGAACAGGTTGAGTTTAGATTTGTGAAAATGTATAAATTTGCACTGTTCGAGTGTTGTCATTGTGTTAGAGAGAAAATGTCATCAATAAATTTGACATTAAACATAATCCAAGTTGAAGTGTTACATCATTTTCAGCCCCATTTTTGGCATCTGCATTTGGTAGCAGGCCAAACTGACCAAGACCATGCAGAATAATGTAATATATTAATTCCTCAGCAGAGAAAGCTCTGTAGTCTCTAAGTAGATCTAGGGGGTAAACAATTGGTATTGGTATCGGTTATTGGCCAAATACATTTTAACATATTGGCATATTGGATATCGGCCAAAAATCCAAAAGCGTGCATCTCTCAAGACCACATTCACTCAGCCGCTCCACGCTGAAGTTTGGGTTGTTGGCTGTGGAACAGCTGAGTGTGTGAAAACGAAAAGTGGCTGAGGACAGGCTCATGCTGTTACTGTTCAAAAAACTGGTTCATGCATTTATCACGTCTAGACTGGACTATTGCGATTTTTTTTTTTTTTTTTTTTTTTTTTTTTTTTGTATCTGGGGGTCCAAATAATCTTTAAAAAGTCTTCAGTTGATCCAAAATGCTGCTGCCAGAGTCTTAACTGGAGTTAGTAGAAGAGATCATCTCTCCAGTTTTAGCTTCTTTCCATTGGCTCTGTCAAATCCAGAATTGAATTCAAAATCTTACTTCTAAACTACAATGCTCTCAACAACCTAGCTCCATCTCATATTGCAGATCTTCATTGACCCATATTTTCCTAACGGAACACTTCACTCAGACTGCAGGTTTACTCGTGGTCCCTAGAGTTTCCAAAAGCAGAATGGGAGGAAGATCTTTCAGTTATCAGGCTCCTCTCTTATGGAAACAACTTCCAGTTTCTGTCTATAAGGCTGACACATTGTCCAGTTTAAGCCTTCCCTTTTTGATTGTAGTGGACTAAGCCTACGTCGAAACCCAGTCTAAGGTCAAAACTCTTGACCTTTAGAACCTTGTGGGACAGAAGCTGTCATTTCATGTATTTGACTCCATAAATACAGGTTCACCCATCCTGAGACTTTCTTTCTTGAAGATTCAAGTGAAAAGAACACTCTCTTTTTATTATCATTACTATCTTACAAATGTTGATAATCAAAGTGTCTTAGTTCAAACCATTTTAGATGTTGCAGTGAACTAATCAATTTTATTAACTGAGTAATGATTTTATTCTCATGTTAAAAGCTGTGCAGAATTATGCATTTTTCTGATTTCTGCTTTTGAATGAGCAAGTGTGTGCGTTTACAAGGTTACAGTCAAACGAAAACAAGTTGTTATGTTAAAACTGTCATGTTTTAGAATCCTCTCAGACGTAAATAGAGATGTTTTGCACCTGTTTCTTAAGGCACGCCAAAACAGAACCCTCTCGGTCTGTGAGAACATTTCTGAGCTGTCTCATAACAATTCTCGCTGTCTCTAACCTCTTACGTCACAAAAACACACCCCTTCTGGTCGTTTCTGACCAATGAAAAATCCCAAAAAGTGAACCGGGAAAGAGTCTTTAAAATGTCAGTACTTCCTGGTCTACACAGACTCACAGGGACACGGAGAGACTCACAGGTATGCTCACGGACTCACGGAGTTACAGAGTTGGAGAGTTGTCAGACTTCAAGAGTTCTGTGGGAGTTCTGTAAACTACACGAGAGCTAAAGTTCTGATGGAGTGCTGTTGGAGTTCCTGACATGACAGCAAAGCTCTTCCGAGTTCCATGGGATTATAACATTTTCCACTGAGGTGAATATGTGTCGAACAGAGCCTCGCCATTACTCCGGACGAGTAACAGCATCCTACTGAGACGCTGAAAGGGTGCGTTAAACGGAATCTCACCTGAGACATCTCCAGGTAAAGGAGCCGATTTCATTCACCTAAGTGTACTGTGAGGAAAAGCTGAAGAAAGCCGGAGAGTGTCGATTCTGGAGAACACTTAATTTCCCTCACATTCAATCTTACTCCCTTTAAACTTCTTCCCATCTTTAAACTTTTCTATCAAGTAGAAATTCTTCCAGATATTTAGAAATGTCTGTGTAAAATGCTCACCCACATTCATGTGGGTAAAAGATCATAGTTGTACAGTTATAAATGTCTGTTGGTGCAGCAACGGAAAAATCATGGCCGTATGATTTTTCCTGATTGATTGCTTATGTTGTTATTTTCATAATTTGCCAAATTAATGTAAATGTTTGATGTTAAATTTGATTCTGTAAATAAATGACCGCATTCATTTTGATGGGTCAAATTTAAATGACGTCTCACTTTGCATTTCCTTAAATTCAGTGCACGTTTTATTCAGTCCAGAAAAATGAGGAACTCGCGTTAAATGATGAATATATCCCAGCATCTGTTCATCTACAACTGGTGGCCCGTACGGGGAGGTAAACACTGACCCCTTACAATCCGAGGATGTGGTCCAGACAGCCTTACACACTTTAACAAATCCAATTCTTGGCAAAACATTGGAGGAATTGCATGACCTTGATGACGATCAAAGACATGAGGAGCTGCAGAGTTTATCAAAAGCAGCTACAGTGAAGGAGGACGCAAAATCAGGCCGCGTACGGTTAGCAAAAATCTCTCTGCTTCTGAAGGCGGAATTAGACCGTTTGGTGGTAGAAAAGGGCGTGCTATTCAACGGATATAAGTCTGAAAAAGAGAGGTGTGATGAATTGATGACTGAATCTGAGTTGCTGAAGCAACACATTGAGGCTGCTGAAGACCTCTCAAAGAAGGAGCTGTCAGAACAGGCTCAATCATATGAGGAGAAGTGTGCCGAGCTGTTGATTGAATCTGAGTTGCTGAAACAAAAGATTCAAACTGATAAGGACCTCTCAAAGAAAGATCTGTCAGAACAGGCTCGATCATATGAGGAGAAGATTGCGGAAAAGGAACGAGCGTACCAGGACGCGTGTGCAGATAACGATAAGTTACAAGCACAGTTGCAAACCGCTTTAAGGGAGCTGGCCGATTGCAAGGCAGAAAAGGGGTTAATAACCCGGAGTTGGCTGACTTTACAAGGTGAATATCAGTCAACAAATGAGCGTCTGGCAGCTTGTGAGGAGAATTTAGCTACAGCTACAGAATGGATTTCTGTAATGGAGCAAGCTGATCCGAGAGTCGAACAGGGTCAGCTACAACCGCCCCAGACAGATGCTGTTGCACCTCCTCCCCTTAGCCCCGTTTCAACACCCCCAACCCGGGGGATAAGGACGGGTCTGCACCCACTTGCACCTCCTCCTCCTGACGCCAGGCAGTCAACTCCACCCCCATCTCGGAGGGTGGGGACAGACCTGCACCAATATGCACCTCCTCCTCCTGACGCCAGGCAGTCAACTCCACCCCCATCTCGGAGGGTGGGGACAAACCTGCACCAATATGCACCTCCTCCTACCAACCCTTATCAGCCACCCCCACCCCCACCATGGGCAGTAGGGGCGGGCCTTGATCAGTCTGCACCACCAGTCACACAAGTTAGACCGGTGATACAGTCTCCTTCAATGGATGATTTGCTGAAAATCTCAAAATATGTACAACGCTTTGTTCCCGGGCCTATGGGGTCCGCAGGAACGAAAGCGTATCTCAAAGATCTGGAGTTCAGATTGAGGTCTTATCCTAATGCTACGGTAGACGATAAGATAAGTCTGATACGGCTCACTTCAGACAGAGAGGTGTTCACCTTCATCGAGCGTCTACCTGATGCGACGAGGAGGGATTACAACCTTCTGTGTGAAGCTTTGATCAGAGAGTACGACCCCTGCACGGGGCCTGCTGGTTTTCCAGCTGCAGACAAGGTCACGCAGGGCAAGACTGAACATCCAAAAGTTTATTACAAAAGAATCTTCCAAGCCTATTTTGGTAACAGAAATGAGACCGGAATGGAAGAAGATGATGGTTTTAAGTTTGTTTTCAGCAAAAATCTCCACTCTGATTTTAAAAAATCAGTACAAATGATGGCAAATTTCAGAGAAAAATCCATCAGTGAGATTAAACAGTGTGCTGTGAATGTGTTTGAAGCATGTTTTCATGCTAAGACGCCCATAGAAGTGTTTCCTAGTGTAAAGGTTAAACCCCTCCCTCTTGAACTAGAAGGACGACGTGCTTCGCCGCCTCCTCCTAAGAAGAAAGAGAGAAAACAGTCTGTTCAAGCTAACAAACCGCGTACTGAAGGTGCACGCTGGGACAAAAAGGCTCCTCTTTCAGAGGAAGCCAGTGATTATCGAAAAATGGGTGAACGCAGGACGCAACGATATGAGAAACCATATCAGCAGGGGCAGTACGTAAAGGACACCCCGCAAGACGTACCTGACCGTCCCCCACCTCGGACGAAACGAACCGAGGCGAAAAAATCACAAAAGTTCCAGAAACAAGGCCCTACACCTCTGAGCTCGGAAGAGACAGAGAAACTACGCAGGTTGTTAGAAACCTTGAAACACACTGACACGGGAACCCAACCAGGAGCACTTTGCAGTAATGTAATTCCTATTACATCTGAGGGCGCGAATGACAACATAACAGATGTCGGTGGAACACACCAAGACGTTGCTGTGGTTGCCTCAAACAACCCCTCATCGGAAGAAGGGGGGGTAAACACACACACGAACGATGACGTGTCATCACAGGCTGAACAATCAGAAACAGCTTCTGCTGTGCTGACGGTTCAGGCAAACCAAAATTACACAGA